ACCCAAAGCCTGGACAGAGCTGGTCGAGCACCATGACCACCCCCCTAAGGAGCGTAGGCTCCATCAAACCGAATGCCACCGAGCTCCCCCAACTACGACAAGGACTCAAAAGCACTCCGACCAAGCAAGACTCGAAGTGGGTCACTCCTAACAGAGATCCCTTAAAACTTGGCCGACGACACAGTCCGCCAAACTCCAAGGTAACAAAAAAAGGGAGAGTGAATAGTGCACAACAAGAAATCTGCTCAACAAAGAGAATCTCCATTAACGAAAAAGGTAGTACAATTATAAGCTCGGCATATCGAGCTGCATACAACAACAAAAAACACCAAAAAGAGGGAACGTCACTCTAGGCCCAGATGCTTGGCAATTCCTCGACCCACCTGCCCTTGGATCAAGAGTTGTTTACTTTTTAACAGACTTTGAAATGAGAATCCCATTCCCAATGTGGGAGCCTGGAATGGCCATTCCCCCATGTAGGAGAATCCCATTCTGCCTAGAATGGGAATCAAAATCCCATTCCAACCAAACTAATAGTTTGAATTGGAATGGACCATTACAATTCCGATCACCATTATAGACTCTAATCACTCTACAGTGCCAGCATGAAGAGGACCTTCTTCTTTTTTCACCCTTTATGGGGCTACACAATATAAGGGATAGCCCACTCATATCCCCAACCATGATGTAGGCACGGTTCAATCCCAGGTCTCCGCTATAACCAGCTGAAGACATTACCAACTAGTTAGTTGGCACCTTGCGTTGCATGAGAGGCAATCGACACCATCAAAGTTATAAATTGAGAAGTCCAGCAGTGGGTCTGTTCCCATGTAAATTCCCACCAGACTCTTCAATCACCTGGGGTGTAATCCATTCATGTCTCAGTCCTTCGGAGCCAAGCAATCCATATTAGAAATGAGGGCATGAATTGCAAGGTGCCAACCGGCTGATTAATAAGGTTGGGGGATCGGCTTACAAAAAAAAATGGATCCAACGCAACAACTCGCATGAATAGATCATATATCGCGCCTTCCATAGGTTCCACAGGAGTGTAGTGCACCTGACCAGAGAAATGCTAATTACGGGTTAAGGTCGGCTAGGGCATCGGCCTGACTGGCCCAGTTCAGTCAACCCCACCTGTTGAAACTAGGATTGGACTTAGACCAAAATATAGCCTTGATATTGAGTTCAAACTGGATTCGAATCAATCTTCCAAGGCCTGAGACGAGTATACATGTATTGCACTTCTTCTAATTGAGATGAAAAATATAACTGATCTCAACCTTTGGTAAGGTGTAGATCTAGCATTTGGCTCAGAATCACTTTTCTCTAACATAATTTCGTCGTAGTTTTAACTTTCAGGTTTTGATTATGGGTGATGTGACTATTAATGTTATCGATTCTTGAAGAAAGCATTTCTCAATTGGTCGTAACATTATTATTGTATTTGTAATTTAGGCAATGCGTGAAAGGAGTATAAATACAAATATGTACAATACATTGCATTCTATATATTTGTAGTTGTACTCTTTCAAAACTCAGCCTTAGAGTATAAATACAAATTTGTAGAGTGTAAAATCTTATATTTTGCACTATTTTGTATGTGTTTGTATTTTTTTCAATAGGCTCAATTTAGGAGAAGTATAAATACAAATGTGTAGAACGTAAAACTTTGTATTCTGTATTATTTTATATGTATTTGTATTGTATATTTGTATTTGTATTCCTTCCAACCTGAGACTTTGCTCAATTTGGAAGGAGTACAAATACAAATATATAGAGTGCAAAACTATGTATTTTGTATATATTTGTACTGTACATATTTGCATTTGTACTTCTCCCAAACCGAGCTTTGAAAGTAGTACAAATACAAATATGTATGATATAAGTACATAAAAAATAATACAAAATATGAGGTTTTGCATTTTACATATTTGTATTTGTACTCTTTCCAAACTAAGCCTTAAAATAAACTGGCATAAACAATTACCATAAAGTTATTTAAACAGCCCAAAACACATTATCCCAACCCAAACGATCATCGGATAGAGCTTTTCTCATCAGTTGTTCTAAGATGACATTTTTCATACAAATAACACCCAAAGGCCAATTTTATTCAACAGTGAAAACGTGAAATCTCGGGTTGGTCTAAATTAGCATTTTGCATTGTTTGATTTGGGCTTTAGGTTGGCCCCATTCAAATTTTGATAAAATTCCAATCCAAACCTGCTCAAATTGCACCCCTGAAACTCAATTCAGTGACAATCCGATCCAGTCCAATGTGAGTCCATTATAAATGGACCAGGTCCAATCCAATCCATTGAATGTTTTGGACCAATTTGGACTGATCCAAGTCAATGTCTGGACCATCCAATTTGTTCAAATTCATTTTGATTTAGATTGGTTTCAACCCAAATCCGGCCCATTGATACATATATTCTTATCTTATATCAATGGACCAGATATTGGCTTAATCCAACCCAATCTAATATAAATTTGTTATGAACGGACCAGTACCAATCCAATCTAATAAATATTTTAGACTAAAGGTGTCAATGGACCAATCCAAAACCGGTCCATTGACACCTTTAGTCTAACCGATAACTTTCTATGCTTTAATTGATATGTATGCTAAATGGGGGCAACTTGGATTGTTTAAGAGTTCGAATTGGCTCCCCCGCAGAGGGCACCCGATATGCATCCCACAGCATATTCCAACCGTACACCGGGAACATCTCCAATACACACTAAAATTTGCTGTGGGACACGTGGGGTGCGCTGTGTGGGGAACCAATGGGAATTTATCATACAGGGCTTGGGCGATCCACACCTTCCAAAGCCCACATTCTGCATATATATCAATAATTCCTTTCCAATATGGATTGGACAAAGATTTGGTTTAATGTGCCTGACTCAAAGCACAACTGCCTAAAAATTGAGGCTTTGTGCTTTTCTACTTTAACAAAAGATGAATCTTATCCAAATGCGACTTTGATTGGCCGAGTTTTGACCATTGTGGTACATCTAGAAAAGAGCATTGGTCCAGACTCAAGCCCAAGGTCAGATAGGGTTGAGCCTGGGCTGAAAGTGGCCCTATGCTATGTTTAGTTTGAAGGAAAAAATAGGGAAAGAAAAGGAAATTTAAGTTTGTAAAGGTTTCTTTAAACTACCTTGGCCTTACCTTGGCCCAGACCAGAGGCCTAAGGTCTCGTCCACTTATAGAAATCTATATGTATGGTATATGTTTTATAAACTAGTCAAGCGTCCCCCTGCCTGCCCCCGACCCTACAAAAAAAAATAAATAAATAAAATAAAAGAAAAGAAAAAAACAAAACACGAGTAATGGCAAGTGGCAAAAATTTCTATTGAATTCTCATATGCAAACACAGAGCCTCCTTCGTCAAGCCGGCCAAGGTCGTCCTTTATTGCTTTTTTTGCAATTTCGTCCAATTAACAAACAACATTATCTTTCCTAGAACACTTGATTGGTGGAATCCGGATCTTCTGCCAACAAAACATATTCCAACATCCTACCAACATGATCTGACATTGTACATCTCACCATGAGATTGGAACCCACAATAAAAAATGTGATATTTTTAAATGTTAAATAATATATTTAAAAAATATGAAACTACAAAATAAAAAATGACAAATTTCTTAAAGTACCCCTATAGTTTAGGAAATTAGCTAAATCTACCCTTACTATTTACATATTGCCTTAAATAACCCTTAAGCTTTATGACAAATGTTTAAAACCTCCTTAATTTTTTTCATCTGTGACATCATATGACGTGTATATATTTTAAAATTTCAAAAATACCCTTTTATGGTTTTACTCCATCTCAGTCTTTATATCCGACTCCAACTCCCTCTCCATCCCCGTATCTGACTCTATCTCAGTCTCAATCTTAGTCTTTGTCTTTGTTTGTATGATGTTATTTAATTGTATCCGTTTAATCTTTGATAGGGTTGGGCAAGACATGTAATGAATCAGTATCCTTGAAAATCAGATTTGACTGAGGTCGAGGAGGATTGGTAAAGGCATGATATCGTGCCGTTCCAAGGAAACCCTTTGGAGAAATCGCCTATAGACTTGTGCAACGTGCAGCCGCTGTTGCAGTAGTAAGGCCTCCACTCAATTTCCTAGCTTCAGTCAGCCATGCAATCAAAGAGCAACCCTGGAGCAGCTCCAGTTTTCCTCTCCTCTCCTTTCCTCTAGTTGTTGTTCGTTACCTATTAATCTTGTTCTCCTTTTTTCTTTCAGATAAGTACGTGGCTTGACTGGCTTCCACCATTACAATCCTTCTTCCCTCATTGTTCTTCCATGGAAGAAAAACCCTCTCCAGAGATTACAAAAACAATAAAAAGTTGTGGAACAATGAAGGAAGGATTAAATCCGAATTATATTCTAAGTAATTCAACAAAGGACCCATTCAGAGGGATTGTGAATATCTTTAAAAACATACATGAACAAAAATGTTCCGAATGCATGATTTTTGTGAGGATGAAATCGGAGTTGGAGTCAAGCACGCGGGAAGACATGTAAATGACAAGTAAATACCAATCGTATCTAATTAAACGTGTTACGACTTATGCGTTTCGATTGTCCCCATTCATCGATCATCTACGGATCTAATTAATGTCCCAGAGCGCAGCTGGAATACTCTCCTCTCCTCTCGGTTGTCTCTATTATGTCTGCATCTTCCGGGTATTATTGTAATAATTTAGGATCACTGTGAACAGGTAAGAATAAGAATCCTTTCCTGATCACTTTTGACGGATTCAAAAAACAAGGACAACTTGAAAGAGATATATTGTTATTGAATTGAATGAAGACTGAAAAGATGACGTGCTTGACCTCCCATTGGCCATTGCGAATGCGTTACCAACTATTTTACACGTCTCCCTTCTCTCCTTCCAAGCTCCAACCTTATAGGGATTAGTGTTCAAAGATTTTCCGGAATTTGCTATTTTAGAAACTTACTGGTTCCTGGGTGGGGGGTGGCACCTTCCGTTTTACTTTCCTTCTCCTTTTGTGGGCTTTGTTTGGTTGCCCAGAAATTTGTCACAAAAAAAGAAAAAAAGACAACAATGGGAAAAGAAGGGATTGATTGTCCATATTTCCACTTTCCACCACACATAATAGAATTACAATTTCCACCAGGCACCAACCAAACACCATCCAATGTCACACGTTTAACAAATTAAATAAGGGTATACATATTATCTTCAAATGCTAATGACAATAGCAGAAGCAGCAAAAGCAAAATCATGGCCGACTTTGATAAATATGTTTCCCTTGTATTGTTAGTTTTTGCCTGGTTTCTGTTACCTTCATGCAGTGCTCAAGAACCACCAAGCTCAGAAGCCGATGCTCTCCTTAGATGGAAAGCCAGCCTTCAGAGCCAAACAGTGCTACAATCATGGACGACCACTGCAACACGACCCAATGCTACCACATCTCCAAATCCATGCAACTGGACTGGAATAGCTTGCAACAAGGCCGGAAATGTAACTGAGATAAACCTATTCAAGGCAGCTTTACAAGGTAAGCTTGACAACTTTGATTTCTCTTCCTTTCCAAATCTTCTCCGTCTTGATCTCAGTGACAACCAACTCAGCGGTACCATCCCAACCCACATTGGTAAACTTACCAGACTCACCTACCTTGATCTCTCTGTCAATCAGCTTTCTGGTGTTCTTCCTCTGTCGCTGGCCAATCTCAGTAACCTCTCCGAGCTCTACCTTTCCAATAACGCCCTAACCGGTGAGCTACACCCACATCTGTTCTCTAACTGGACAAGACTAACCAACCTTGATCTCCAATACAATAATCTCACTGGGAGAATACCCAGGGAGATTACCCTCCTCACAAGTCTCAGAGAGCTAGTCCTCATGAGTAATCAGATATCTGGTTCGATCCCATCAGAAATAGGAGATGTCAAGAACTTGGAGAAACTGCTTTTACGAGGGAACAACCTTATAGGCACTATCCCTCCGTCTTTGGGCAATTTGACCAAGCTAACCCACTTGTTCCTTGATCTGAATCATCTCTCTGGATCAATCCCTCCCACCATAGGCATTTGGAGAAGTTTAACTGATTTGCGCCTCTGCAGAAATCGATTATCTGGGGTAGTACCTCAAGAAATAGGAAACCTTTCCTTGTTGACTGTTTTCCACATGAATTACGACAACTTCTCTGGCCACTTACCACAACAACTCTGCAAAAATGGTTTGCTTGTGAATTTCACTGCAGCAGGCAACAATTTCACAGGCCCCATACCAGAGGGCTTGAGAAACTGCCCAACCTTGTATAGATTCCGGCTCGAAGGAAACCAACTCACAGGAAGTATAGACCGCGACCTAGGAGCGTATCCAAACCTTGATTATATTGATCTGAGCAACAATAAGTTGAATGGGGAGCTCTCACCGAGTTGGGGAAGGTGCCGGAACCTGACTGCAGTAAAACTTGCCGGAAACAATATTCAGGGTACTATACCGGTTGAGTTTGGCCAGTTAACTAAACTGGGAGTACTTGACCTCTCCTCAAACCAACTTGTTGGAGAGATACCGAAGCAAGTGGTACGACTCTCTTCTCTGATTAGGCTAAGCTTGAAAGATAACCATCTTTCTGGCCAGATACCATTTGAAACTGGAGAACTATCCAATCTAAATTTTTTGGACATGTCGATGAACATGTTAAGTGGACCAATCCCAGAGCAAATAGGAGACTGCTCCAGATTGCAGCATTTGAGCTTGAGCAAGAACCTTTTTAATGGAACCATCCCATATACGATAGGGAATCTTGTAGACCTGCAGGAGTTACTAGATCTCAGTGAAAATTCGCTTACTGGAGAGATACCATCACAGTTCAAAAAGCTGACCAAGTTAATGAACTTGAATCTCTCCCACAATATGCTCACAGGTGTCATTCCCTTTTCATTGAGTGAGATGGACAGCTTGACGTCGATCGACTTATCCTACAATGATTTGGAGGGTCCTCTGCCAAACAGTAGAGCCTTTCAACAATCTCCACCAGCAGCATTTGCTAACAACAGAGGTTTATGTTGTGAATCCTGTGGCTTGCAAGCATGCAACCTATCTTCTACAGAAGAAGGTGACAGAAGAACCAACTTCAAATTCGTGATTGTTATTGTTGCCTCCTGTTCCGTCGCACTGTTTTTTCTAGTTCTATTCATCGGGTTCTCTGGTTTTTGCCAGAAAATTTCAAAAAGTGAGAAGACAGGAGCAAGTGTTGCAGGAAATGGACATATATTTTCTGTATGGAATTACGATGGGAGGATAATGTACGAAGACATCATTCGAGCCACAGAGGGCTTCRACAACAAGTATTGTATAGGGATTGGAAGATCAGGAAAAGTGTATAAAGCACAGCTCTCAAATGACCATGTTCTGGCCATAAAGAAACTTTCTTCTGAAGAGTCGGAGCTTGAAAATGTGAAAAGTTTCAGGAATGAAATGCAGGTGTTGACAGAAACACGACATCGAAACATTGTGAAGCTTTATGGGTTTTGTTGTCACTTAGACCACACATTTCTAGTTTATGAGTACATGGAAAATGGAAGCTTATCAAATATCCTAAGCAGTGACAATAGCGCAAAGAAGCTAGATTGGATTAAGAGGATTAAAATTGTTGCAGGTGTTGCCCAGGCTTTATCTTACATGCATCATGACTGCAAGCCACCGATAGTTCATCGAGACATTTCAAGCAAAAATGTTCTTTTGAACACACAGCTTGAGGCTTGTGTTTCTGATTTTGGCACTGCAAAGTTTTTGAAGCCCGACTCCTCCAATTGGACCACAGTTGCAGGAACATACGGATACATTGCCCCAGGTAGAGACATTAATTGTTTATTAACACCCAGCATTATATATGAATCGACACATTTTGCTTTGATCATCAGAACTTTTGGGTTCAACAACAGAGCTTCTTTTGTTGATATCTGAATGCTTATATATATCTTTTTTCTTGCCACAGAGCTTGCTTACACGATGGTCGTAACTGAGAAATGTGATGTGTATAGCTTTGGAGTTCTGGTGCTGGAAGTGATAATGGGAAAGCACCCAGGAGAACTCATTTCTTCTTTATCATCATCAAGTGATGAAGATATAGTGCTGAAGCATGTGATGGATCCACGTCTCTCACCTCCCACAATTCCACAGGTTTCAAAAGCACTTGCATCCATTATGATGTTAGCGCTGGCATGCTTGAATGCTGATCCACAATCTCGACCCACCATGCGACACACGGCTCAGGAGCTGCTTGGTCACGACCTGAGTTTTACCAAGCTCTTCGGCTCAACTGATGTTGGGTCACCTTCACATGGCTCTCGATATCTCTGATGATGTTGATTATCATTTCCACGATATGAACAAATTGCTGTGTAGAGATTATTATGTCGTAGATCTGATCAATTAATGGGCATGCTTGAAAAATATCCATTGCAAAACGAGGCTATTACAAATTTAGAATAGGGTTGATCTTACAAGAGGAGAGAAGATTCCTAACACAACCAGATATTAGAAAATAATTGTCTTGAGCTCTTAATGTTATTATAGATCTATAAATTCCATATCTTAAACACATTCCATACATTTGTTCATGGGATCGGTTGGTCGCTAAGCATCCTCCATTTGAGGAGAGTCAGGATCTGCTGGTTATTTATGAACAGAGCAGGGTCCATTGTTGGATCCCCAATGGGAGTGCACCATCCATGCAAATACAATGCGTGACCTGCGGGTTCAAAACCTGCAGAAGGGCAGGCTCTAGACTCCTACGAGGWCACTCTTCAGAGGAGGAGATGAAGTTCACCCACTTTTTTCATCCACACGTACCAATTTGTCCACAATTCCTCCAACATGATTAACTTTGCCCGCAATGATGGGTGGGCTAAATGGCATGGAACAAACGAACCAATGTCAAGAAATAAAGAAAAATGAATTGGGAGGGAAGATGCGTGGGAGGAGACAGTAGAGATGGTTAAAAATGAGAAGCAATGGGTCTAATTGCTAACAAATTTGAAATGGCGTTAATGAAAAATCACCCAATGCAGCTGAATGGTGAATAGTAAAGTGTTTGAGGGTATCAATCGGAATGACATACAGAGAGATTAGACAGCCCTTCTGTCAACCTCTCCTTTTCACCCGCAGCCTCTCTTGAAAATCACCCCAACACAASGTATGTGTTTGATATAGCTTCCGTTTATTCACTGAACGTTTGTACTTGATTTATTTGCAAAACCAAAAAAAACAATAATGAAACTGTTTATTGACAATTAGGCACTACTAAGCGCCATTAGGCACCATATCAGCAAAACAGTGAATAAATGCATACTTGTTGGGAAAAGAATTAAAATGAAACTTCCCCGAATGATAGGCATGCACATAAATCAAGGCTTGCTTTTGCAAGTCTCTATGCCTATAGATCAACATGATGGGCTACATGCTAAAGTGGCACTTATGTGGAAGAATTTATTAAATAAATGCCCACGATTGCAAACACCCTCGAGATTGTGAGCTCATTCTGAATTTTGATGGCAGCTTTAGGAGGTCTACAGAGAACAGCCCAAATGCTGAAATAAGAGGTTTGATCCAAAGAGTGAATGGAGATGTGACTTGGGCCTTTAATAGCCCTGCAAAGGTGGCTGATGCATTTGAAGCAGAGGCTAGGGCCCTCCTAAAAAGCCTCAGAATTGCCAAATCTCATCAGTTCTTGTTTCCTTGCAGTCAAAGGAGATTCGAGGAATGTTATAAGCTGGGCTTCRGGACAGACTTTGGACCTGTGAAAACTGTCTCATTTGCTGTTAGAAATCAGGGAGCTGGCCTCTTACTTACAATGCAGCTTCAAATGAATTTCTAGAGAATTAAACCATGCGGCTAATAACCTAGCTAAATCTGGGCTGGGAAGGGATTTTGTATAGTGATCATACTTTGGGCTTTGCCCTTTTTTTTTTTTTTTGACAAGGCTTTGTACATCCCTCCCCCTTTTTTGATCTTAATGAAATGAATCACCCAAACACAAAAACAAAATTTAATTATAAGATTCCAACCTCCCCCTTATATAATAACCTCTTTAGATAAATCAAAATAAACTGTATATAAATATCCACAGTGTTTAACAAAAAGTAATGCACGCTAGAATCAATGCTATATCAGTAAATACAAGCCAACAACCACCACTAGTCTCGGTGCTACAATGGGTACTTCCCCGATGAAATCAGTCGGACAAGGATCACTCGCACCTATCATGCGACTATTTCTGCAAAGTTCATGCACATGTATATATAATTGAGAAAAAAATATATAAAGGGAAAATCTATAGGAAAAAAGAGTATAGAAGTATAGAAGGAAACCAGTGGCAGAAGGCCACATGGATAGACCAGCTGTACACTCAATAAATGTCGTACATGGTGTGGACTGTTACACTGACCATTCGATGGGGATGACCAAATGCATGTACCAACAATGAAAAAGTTATTTACAATAGTAAAGAATCAAATCTATGGAATTTGGCCTGACCAATTGCACAAGAATATCTTTTAACAGTCCAATCTGATCATTCTAGCCCTAGGTTGGAAATATCAAGTGGTGGGCCAATCCTCTGCATTTGCACAATGCATCAAAATCTTGGCAAGGACCATTTTTCCCCATTCCTTAATTGGCGGCTTTTACCAATACCATGTCAAATTTGTTTCTAAGGTTAGCTAACTGTTCTTCATAGTAAAAGTCTAAAAGAAGTCAAGGTGTAAGATCGCAAAATACCCAGTTAAGGTCCCAAAAGTATCGTGAAAACCCAAACATTAAAGAAAATGAAGTAGAATTATTCAACCAACCCTCATCACAGATGATTCCTTACCTCTGCTGCTTCAGGTTCAACACTTTTGGACTGCTCCCCTGCAAATTCAAATTGACAGCAGCATTTGCATAACAAAGGCATATTAGTCACTGAATGGGTGAGACATAGAAGTGGCAGAACAGTCACAAATTCATCATATGAACTTGAAAGGTAGTAACTACAGAAAGGAAATTAAATAGTTGGAAAGGAACAATTCTCACAACACCTGCTTTCTATTTGAAAGAACCAGTAGATAGAGAAACAATTTCTGGTAGCCTAATATTTGTAAGGCAGTTGTAATAAATTTGCAGAAAATATCTTAAAAATAATTCACCAGGTTCAACCGTTCAAGTGACCTTTTTCTATGCTTTTTTCTTGTTTTAAAACTTTTCCTGTCAACATGGATAGTACTAGATTCACAGGTAAGTTATCATTAAAGCATAATTTTCTCAGGCACAGCACTGTCTTACTTCCACCCAAGGATCTCCAGTGTGTACTGTAATGGTTCTATGAAACTGGAAAAGAATTTCCTCTTGTGTAACTTCTGATTACATTTATAATTTGTTCAATTCTGTTCATTATAGTGTCTGGGGAGGACCTCTGACAAAAGTTGAGAGAGGACCTCTGACAAAAGTTGGATGCAAATTAAAGCTTTATTTTTCATTTCCCCTTCAATTTCTTTTAGGTTATTTTTGTTATCCTCTCTCTCTCTCTCCATTGACTAAAGAGGGTCATTTTTTACTTCTGCTTTGTTTTATTTTTCTTTCATTTTCTCTGTACCTTTTAACTCTTTCTAATACTATACATGGGATTGGGAATCCCCATATATGAAAATGAGGAAAAGTAGGCCAAAATGGTTTGGGTATACGCAGAGAAGACTACCAGCAGTACTACGAAATGAAGGAGCTAGAATCACTGAGGGCAGACCAAAAAGGTAGGGATGGCAATTTTACCCACAAACCGAGTCCCCGATCTGACCCGCCCCGAACGGGGTGGATTTTCCCCAGTCACAAATGCATGCAGGTCGGGTTCGGGGAATTTTTTTTGCCCCGGACCGGGGACAGGGCGGGGATGGGGTCTGCCTATAAATCCCCAAACCCACCCTGACCCCGGTTGTAATTTACAACTATACCCTTATATATATAATATATATAGTGTATTAAACTATTAGGGTACGTTCAGTTTCAGTGTTTGTGTTTCACTGTTCAACTTCTTCGCTCGCAGAAGGCAGAAGCCGCAGAACCGCAGTTCGCAGTCGCACAGCCACCGACCACCGGGCGTCGCCGCCACTGTAGAACCGCCGACCGCCAACCACTGATCGCTGTAGCACAGAGTTGCGGCTCAGTCTGCAAGCGACCATTGTTTTCAGTTCAGTGACTTCAGTCTTCGATTGCAAACTGAGAAACTGAGAAGTCTCGTTCGTCTGCCGACCGCCGGGCACCGCTGCCACCGTAGAACTGCTGACCGCTGGGCGCCGACCACCCTAGCACAGAACAAACCAGTTTTTATTTTGAAAACAGCTCTCACTGGTAGTTTCCTTTCATGACTTCTGTTGCTTCTTCTGTTGAAAAATTTCCCTCTAAATGTGAATCTATTGAGAAGTGTAGAACTCCTCTTTGCAGGGATGGAGTAGTTGCTTGTTTGGTCATTGTTTCGGAAACAAGTGTTTATATGCTGAGGGTTCAATTGGGTTTCTTTTTTCTCTTTTTATGTTTGTCTTTCGTGGTCTTTCTCTTCTCTTAGGGGAGAGAATGGAAGTCTGTGTCTGTGTTGAATCTATCCATCTATTCGACCATTCAGTAATATCATCAAAGGCCGAGGAAGGATGGAGTCGACGGACAAACAGAGAAGACTGAGAGAAGTGCAGTTTAGGGTCTTCAGACTTCACAGAGGTAGAGAGAGAGAGAGGGAGAGAGAGAGAGAGTGAGTGAGAGAGTGATGAATACAGTAAAAGTGCAGTAAAACTGGTTGCAGGGTGGGTACATGTCGGGGATTCCCCATCCCCGACGGGGCCGGGGATGGGGGTTGAATCTTCACCCCGATACCAGGGATGGGGCAGGGACGGGGAGTGCGTGCCCAGCCCCATATCCACCTGTTGCCATTCCTACAATCTTCACTACATGGGTTGTAGTGAGAAATGATTTAAGGGCCTGCACAATGGATGGTAGTAAATAGGACAGAAAGGATTCATGTAGCCAAACCCATATAATTGGGACAAGGCTTTGGATGACAATGATGATGATGATGACATGGAGATTCAGAATGTTCTATCCAACCCAAGATATTCACTGATTTTTGGTGATTTCAAGCCCAAGTCGCATCTCTTATAACTTGGTCGGCAGTCAATCCAACTAGGAATCAGATGATTTCCGATCCAGATCACAAGTCTTTAAAAACTACATTTTGGGTAAATCATCAACCACCAGCATAAACATGACAGATGCATTTATTAATCCAGATGATATCAAACTCAACTTTGATGGTTGCAGTCTCAGGAACCCAGGAGCCTCAGGAATTGGGTGTGTAGTTAGGGATCATAAATGGGAACATTCTACTCAGTTCTTTGGGTCTTATTGGGGTTCGGAACTCTCTAAGGACTGAATGAAAACGTTGATCCAAGGTCTGTAATTGATGAAGTTGAAAGAAATGAAAGATGTGGAGATTGAAGGCTACTGTCAAACTATAATTCCGTGGATGAGAAAACAGGATAAGATTCCCTGTAAGTTCAGACTTGGGTATTTATCACTACATATGCTGCAGCCTGCAGGGGCATTAGTGTCTTTTTGTTCTCCTTTTTATTGTACTGTCGCCCTACTATAAATACTAATGGAGATGCCACAAGCCTATCTTTTTGGCCCTCATTCTCTCTTCTCCCTCTTCTCTTCTCTCTTCTCCCTCTTCTCTTCTCTCTTCTCTCCCTCTTCTCTTCTCTCTTCTCCATTTCTTCTTTATTGCTGTTATTGTTAATATGGTGTCAGAGCATGTTTTGACGGCTTGAGAACAGATTGATACTCTATTTCTCCCTTTTCCCTTGCTCTTTTGGACCGAAAAACAAGTGAAAGAAATTAGTTTGATCTGAGACACTTGTAGGAGTCTTTGCTCTGTTCTTCTCTTGGTTGTGTGTCAAGAAAATCCAGAAACTAGGTGATCGAATGCTATGAAGGAGATTAGAAACCCTTTTGTGGATCATATGATCCTGTTGTAATGAGAAAGGTGTCCTCAGTAGGTCTGGTATGACCTGTTTGTGTAGTGACAGTTGTGGACTGGTACTGTGAAGCAATCATGGGGCTTGATTTGGTAGAGTGTTGTGCTTGTCCAGATCAGTTATTGGAAGGTGTGTGATTGTTTCCCTTCAGAATCTAGTACTTCGACTCCTTGGGAAGGACCGGAAGGTGCTGTTTAGGGGTACAGCATTATTCCTCTGAGAAATCTACTTTGAACTGAAGTGGTGAAGTTGCTTAGGCCTTAGGGTCCTGTTACAATGGTTTCTGATGACAGTGTTACTTTGGGTGTAAATTCTGGACAAGGAAGATTGAATAGTGCTTAGATAATATGAATTTCCCCAATGACTATTACACCTCTTGTTAGTAGAAATTATTTGCATGGTCCAAGGAAATGTTGTACATCATGGCTAGGGGCAAAATTAATTACATCAATGAAACAGCAAAAAAAAACCAAAGACTGTCACTGTGTAACATGACAAATAGAATCAGGAGAATTTCTTTATGTGGGCAGATACAGCCCGTGATATTTGGGAACAGGAAAAGCCCACATACTCTGAATAGAGGCACTATGCTAGGATCTATCAGTTGCAAGTAGAGTCCTCTACATACAAGCAGGGAGAACATAGTCCATCTGCTCACCATTCTCCTCTCTCTTCCATTTGGAAGGAACTTGACCACTATCAGAGCATTGAATGGGAGAGTGATAAGGATGCTAAAGCCTATAAGCCCCTAATCTCTCAATAGAGTGTGTTTGCATTTTTTACTTGGGATGAATCCAGTGTATGAACCTATCAAAGTCCAGATCTTGCATAGTAGGCACCTTCCTTCTATCAATGAAGTGTACGTTTTGATACAATCTGAGGAAAGCATGAGTGTAATGAATACTTCTAAGGGGGAGCAAATAGCTTTCGCTGCAAGGGGTGTTATGAATACTACTACTGTCACTATTCAGTCATTTCACCTAAGTAACACTTCTAGTCGATTATGCTTACAGGAGATTCTTTTCCTCCTTGACTTCTTCTCTATGTCTCTATCCTAGAATTGTCATCTCAATGTACAATCAAAACCATTATTAAAATACTTAAGTAAAATACCCTTTGAAATATGAAAAAAGCACAGAGGTAAAAAAACTCAAAACCTTACAGTTGCTCTTGTTCCTAGAACTGTGGATATAGCTGATTCAACACAAAATGAAACAAAAGATGAGTAATTCTATTCATTCACCTCCTTCCTCTGGCAAATCTGAAGTCCATAATGTGAGGTTATCCCTAAGGAGCTGCATTATAAGGGTGCTATCCTTGTAGGATTCCTCACTGAGGTTATCAAGTTCTGCAATTGCGTCATCAAATGCTTGTTTTGCCAGATGGCATGCCCTGTATTACAATAGAAACAGGGTCAATATATATAAAAAATTGGAAACTTTAAAGCGTAAAAAAAAAATACGATGAGTTCCATGATTGGACTTTGAAGGACGATCTTGTGAACTAATGAAATATTTGTTAGCAAAGAAAATTAGAGAATGAGAATGCTGAAAAGTAAAAGAAATCAAATGCAAAGCCAAGACATTGCACAACTGAATAAGAACCAAACATCAAGAAGACAAGAACAATAAAATTAGATGGAAGGCAATGTACCTCTCAGGGGAATTCAATATCTCATAGTAAAAGACAGAGAAATTCAAGGCCAGGCCAAGCCTAATTGGATGAGTTGGTGGCAGATCTGTTGCAGCAATATTAGTGGCAGCCTGCATCATTGCAAGGAACAGAATTACCAAAGAAATTAATATGAATGTGTTGGAGATAAAGCCAGCAAAACAGTGACAAGCTGACCAGACCTGGTAAGCCTTGAGTGACTGATCTGCAGCCTCCTTACGATCAACCCCAGTTTTAAATTCAGCTAGGTACCGGTAGTAGTCTCCCTTCCTGGCAATGAAAAAGTTGATAGATCATATCAATATAGGAACAAAATGTGAAAACCAAGTAAAGCTCAAAATAAGAAAATCTCTGAAAGGAAAATTCATCCTTACAAGTTCCTATCAAAGGAATAGTATTAGACCCGCTGGGTCTGGGTGATATCCACATAAGATTATCTCACCCATGTGAAGCATCATCACAGACCATCAAAAAAGGTACAGAATAGTTTCGCTGAAAATATATCTGGACTGAAATGTTGTATTCTTTAAATTAGGGCAATCATTTTTTACCCCAAAATTCTCATTGGTAAGTAGGACCTGAACAAAAGGAAGTCTTGTCTCAATGTATTACATGCACAACACTGATGTATGATGCTTTATTCTTTTACTATTCCCCCTTCTGTCACAAAACCAACTAATCCTCATTTCAAGTTGTTTCATCAAGTATGTATAACCTATTGTATATGCCAATGATGCAATACTAAGCCAAAATCTCGAAAGAAAAATAAAAAGTAAAAAATCTTACATCTTATGGTAGAAGACAATCGATTCTCCTGCAGAGGAGGATCGGAGGAGATGGTCATCAATGATGGTCAAGATGTCATTAGAGATCCTTGAAAGCTCATCTTCAACCTTGTGCCTGTAATCCCTTATCCTCTTCACATTCTGCTCATTCCCCCTAGACTCCTCCTTCTGTTCAATGGAAGACAATATCCTCCATGATGCCCTCCTTGCCCCAATCACATTCTTATACCCAACAGAAACCAGATTCCTCTCCTCTACTGTCAGTTCCACATCCAACCTAGCAACCTGCTTCATTGATTCAACCATCTCTGCAATGAGAGGGATAAAGAGAGAGACGGCATTGGCATAAAAAATAATTACACAGAGTCCCTATTAAATACAATCAGGAAGTACACAGAACCAAATGATAGATCCCTATCAGATTTGTTATTCTAGTCATTCTATTCAAGAATAAAATTAAAAAATTGAGGAAGATCAGAAATTCCCGTTCTAGACACAAATGAGAAAAAAAAAAAAAAAAAAAGCTGACCGTCATCATTTGTTACATATAAAGTTATGAGAAAAAAATATAAGACATGGAAAACTGATAATAAAAATTTTCCAATTGCACTCTTGCAAACAGTGAAACCATAAGGACCATAACAAGATTGTAATTCTTCAAAACCACAGATGTGGCATATATCCCTGCACTTTCTTTTCATGTGTGCTAATTATATTAACAGAAAAGAAATTAAGCATTTACTATTTTTTGTTGCCATGCATGTTTACAAAACATGAATTATGTCATTTATAAATGGTGTTTTGGTGAGTAACATGATTTATATAAGAATATAAGATTGACACTTTTGCCAAATCAACAACATAGTATAATAGTGGAAGAATAATGGAATAATGGAATAGTGGAGAAATGCACACGTGCTGAGAGAGAGAAACAGTCTCTCCCTCCAGGTTAGTCTGATAGGCTTGTTCATATTGTGGAGTGTGGATGTCCTATTGGCAGGACTAGTCATCCAGGTTAGCTCCTCTTCCTTTACACCTTGTTCTCTTATTCTCTCTTGATTATCTAATAAAATTCTGATATATTAGTGATCAAATATATAATGGTATAAGCACGAAGCATGCATGCACATATGAAATTGTACAAGAATGTTGAGATCTTCAATGGATGACCCAATTTCAAAGCTCTTTTCTGACAAAATCCTCACTTGAATCAGAGTGGTCTTGATCCATGGGGTCTAGTGTTCAGTAGGCAATACTCACATAAATAGCTAATTCCATTCCCTTCATGCTTATATAGCTTAAATGGTGTTCAGATGAAATATTCCTACTTTGCGACCAGCTTCTAAAGGTCGTTTATTTTGCTCGACACTATATATAGTAGTGGAACATAGTCCACTAATGAGATTTTGGTGCTTTGTCACCAACTCTAACTTGGGAGTTGGGATTTATTCATCATCTGCCTTCTCTAGCTGATCTCTGTGATATTTGCATGTATGGTAAAATTCCTGCCTCATATAGAAGTCAACAATCTATCAGAAAATTGGTTTTAATTTTTAAAGGAATTATTCAACCTGTGTTCCTAAGCTGTTCAGTTAAACTTCAAAATCTAAAATGAGGAGTAATCACACATGATGTTCTTCTCAGATCTTTCAGATCCAGGTATTCCTTTCTCTAAAAACTGATTGCTGATCCCAGTGGATTCCCCCAAAACTGAATGTAGATCTAAACTCAAATGGGTTAGTTCTAAGAATGAAGCGAGCAGAGGAGGCCCAAGAAGAAACTAATATGGATATCCTAATCTGGCAATTGGCAGTAAGCTCATGCTGGCCCCTGTTTTCATTTTGAGCTTATAACCATCTTTCATAGGCCCTATACAATGACTGTTAATTGTTGATTCAGATTGACAACATAGACAAATTTGACAGAATGATGAAAAGGGTGCCATGATGGGCTAGAGGTTGTACCTGTAGCAATAGTGCCAGCATTTGTGGTGCTAAATCCTATGAAGTAGCATCATATTGACCAGAACTAAATCATCATTTATCCTGGTTTTCCTTGATCATTAATAAATCAAAGGAGGCTCTTTAGGTAACTATATAGAGAACTAACATTGTTTTGTTAGGTTTTGTGGGCCAAGTGATTTTGGTCCTTGTTTTGTGTCCATCTTTCATTTTGTGGGCCTCTACATGTCTCTGTGGGCTCTCATTGTGCTATATATATATATATGACTTTTAAGAGTTGTAGATTCACTAAGGCCATGTAACGGGGTGTTTTTTTAGGGCAAGGCCATGTAATGTTTGTACTTTGTACCCCAAGAATTTGTTTAGACATAAGCAAATTTCGAGAATGGAATATTCACCAAGGTGGAGGAAGTCAAACTAAGGTGCTTATTCATCAGCTAGATGATCAATTTATAAGCTGTTTATGTCTAGCTTCTTTAAGATCAAATATAGAGTTATCACAATAGAAGTTATTTATATAGTGAGTTCAACCATACTATCTGCTCGGATAACATGGAGTAAGTATACAAACATCTGTAATCGATTTATTTTATTTTTCTTATGTTTGATTTTATTTCATCTTTTCCCCAAGTGGCCAAGGTTGAAGAATTCAAAATTTCCTATAGATTAAGCAAAAAAAGCCTGGCATATTCAAACACATAAACAGATATACTTAATATTAGGAAAATTTACTGGTGTACAATTGCCCAAGCAGTGTTATGGTGTATTTGGGAAGAAAGAAACAACCGCCTCTTTGAAAACAAAACCAGATCTATTGAAGATTTACTCTCTCACATTACTTTTCAGGGCAATCTTTGGGTCTCCATTTCAGCAGAATTCAAAGGCTTATATCTGAATGATTTACAAAGAAATTTGGGGGAAATCCTCTTCTCTTCACCAAGACATTCTAACAGGACAAACACTATTCCTGCAAGACTGTTATCAGAGATAACTTTAATCTTTGATGGCAGTGCTTTGGGAAACTCCGGAGTTGCTGGAATTGGTGGAGTTTTTAGAGGGAGTGAAGAGAGCATCATGTGGGCATGTAGTGGCCCAATCAGAGTGGCTGATTCTTCGAAAGCAGAAATCATGGCTGCACTCACAGGTCTTCAAATTGCTAAAGAGAAGGGCTGGTCTGCTCTAACCATTAAAGGAGACTCAGCAAATACAATAAGATGGTTAGGGGAGAAAGAGGGAGGCCCTTGGAGACTAGATCATTACTTGGCTGAAGCCAGAGATACTCTGAACACCATGACTGTAAACTTAATCTGGATTCCCAGAGAATCAAATACTATTGCTGATGGTTTAGTTAAATCAGGTACCCTTAGGGAAGTCATGTACAGTGAAAGAAATCTGCCCCTGTAATTTACTCTTGTTGGTTCAGCTGTATCATGTATATTTCCTCATGTACCTGCCTTCTTTTCTAATATAATCAGTTAACTTTTTTTCTCAAAAAAATATACTTAATATTAATGCCTTAGACGATCATACGGGAAAATTAAAAAGAAAATGATATTAATTCAGCTCCCTGCCACTGCCAGCAAAACCAATGTTAAATTAAAATAAGAGGCACCCGTTATCGTGGTTCAACAGAGCGGAGCAAAACCAATCAAATAAAACTAAAAACTTAAAACAGAGCATACCCACGCCATACTTACAGCAACAAATATAATAGAACCAAACTCATGAGCGTTATTCTTAAATTAGTAAAAAAAAAAAATGAAAACATGAGAAAGATAGAGAGGCGGAGAGCAACTTAGACATCATCACTATTATTATTATTATTAAATTATCTTCATGAAAAAGAGAATAGAAACAAAAACACATGTTAGTAATATTATTCTCAATCTGTCAAACAATAAACCCAAACTACAACTAGCCCAGTTGATAGTTTTAAACTAAATAAATAAATCGTATATCTTATTCTTTTAAACTAAAAAAAAAAATACAGTCAGCGAACAAATAGCAAGAAACTTCATATGTGTAATTCTGTATTCCATTACCTCCATATTAAAAAAAAAAAAAAAGAATAAAAAACTATACAAGTATAAACAACAAAAACTGGGGATATTTAAGAAACAATAATAAAGAAATCCAACGCCCATGCTACCATTACAGAAGATGATGATGATGAAGAAGAAGAAGAAGAAGAAGGGTTAAAGATATACCATCATATCTCTCGGCTTGTTCTGCAAGCCTCGCCATGTAGACATGCCTTTCTCTCTCCCTCTCCATTTTCGCGCCTCTCTCTCTCTCTCTCTCTCTCTCTCTCTGCAAACTGCTTCCAATCCAAGTACACTATTGACTTGTACATGCAAATGACTGAAGCAGCCGTTAAATAGTATTGAGAGAGAGAGAGAGAGAACTTTGGAATGTCTGATCCGTTTGATCGTCTTATGGAAGAATGTAAGCCGTAGATTATGGTTCAAGCAGAAATTGTCCCTTGGATTCTATTCTGGGGTCTGGGCAGATTGGGGGGTGAGGTGTGGCCGGCTCTTCTGGAATGATTGGAATTTCTGTGAATCTCTGTAAGAAACAGACTGGCCAACAACCAACCCTGGCTTTTTCGGTTTTTCCTCCTTCACTGTCCCCGTTTCTACACAGAACGACTACCGGAGTATCCGGGTCCCATGGAAGCTACATGGAAAGTTTCTATTTTTTTTTTCAACACAAATTTAAAATTCCAAAAATGTTTTTGCTCTATCCAAAATTCAAAAATTAATTAAGAATAATTTTGTATATTTAAACCGGCAGTAAAGTACAGACCGGATCGGCTATCCACAAAGCCACTACCCATACGACAAATATGAGCAGATCTTAGCACATTAAATTATAAGAGTGTTTAAAATTAATGAGTTCAATTATGATACTAGAAAAAATTGCAACCAATCAATTAATAATAAAACATGGTAACGAATCAGGTGGTATTTATTAAGTTCAAGGAGAACTTTTGATTAATCAAAACTCTTTTAATATCATATCTTATCTTTCTTTCTCGTAGTATAGATTTTTTTTTTCAAAAGTAAAAAGATGAAAAGATATTTAGGCTTTGAACTCTTTTATTTATTAGATTTAAATATTAAAATATTTGGACAAATAATGATATAAAAATACTTTGATTCAATTTTTGTTTTTAACTTAAATCTAAGGCAAGTATAGGCATTATATATATATTATAATTCGGGCAGTGTTTTGATAGAAAACCTAGGACCAAGCTTATAATCTTGCAATTCAAGATGGGCTAGAAATTTCAAGATACATATCAAGCATTTTATAAGAAGTAGCCAATTCTAAAGGTCTTTGGCTGATTAATTGCAATGGAGATTTAGATTGACTCCCGCCTTCACCGGAGGTTTGGGAGTTATGGGTATAGGACCAAGCTTACAATCTCCCGCCTTCACCGGAGATTTAGATTGACAGGTTACCCCCATACATTTTGAATCTCCTTCAATCTGTATCTTATGTTTGTTGTTTCCCTTTTGCCAATAGGACACAATCCCTACAATGCTTATCCACACTTTGTTTGCTCAATCAAATTTGATGAAAAAAAACAGTGTTTAGAAAATCGGACCAGATTGACCGGTTGACCTAAGACCCTGACCGCTATGATTACACCCTAATAATCAGATTTGCTCAAAACCCAGTGAAAACCAGTTAATTGACTGATTTAAACGGAAAACTGGTGAACTGATCTTGGTTTTATAAAATTGCCTGAGTTCATACATAAAGTGAAATTTTAAAACATAGTTAATAATTCTTATTTTCACATATTGCTTAATTACCACTAATCTATATATATATATATATATATATGCCATATCATCGCAGTTCAATCCCGGTTGAACCTCTCCCTTCTCCGTTTTTTATGTACAGTCCAATTCTCTGAAACATTGTACAAAAAGTTTAGTTTGTATTTTGATTCTATCGCTGTGAAAGATCTCAACAACTAAAAGTTTATCCAAACTACCACAATAGCCTAATATTGTTGCATTTCAATGGTAGTATTCTTTTTTCTTTTCTTTTTGAATTAAATTACATATAACCATGAGGCCCACTGACTTTACTATAGAGAGCCTGCATTTTTTTCTTGTTTTTTTAATACCTATAGAGAGTCTACATTTACAAGTGTTTCATCCATCACGCCTCCATATTCAGAAGGACTCCAAAGTGACAATCTGTCAACCTCAGCTATTGGATCATCGATTTCAATGGTAGCTCGATCTTATGTTATGTCCAAAAGGTTTTCCGCTGTTTGTTAAATCAAATGTTGGCAACTGCAACTTCAATTAATATTTAAGAACCCAAAAATGAAATCACCTCTTTGTATTCCTTTTATTCGTTTTGCATCACTTATTTTCAATCAATATACATCGCCATTAGTTGCAGTAAATGAATTTKCACTGTTGCAAAATTATGATACAACAAATTATTATTTGGATGCAAATGCTGATTTATTTTTGTTTTAAATTTTAATTTATTTTATTTGATTGCAGTATAAATAAAGTAAAATAAGACTTTGAAACAGAATGAGCTAAAACCTAAAACAAAATTAAACTAGAATTTGCATTTTTTTCAGTTGCACTCTCATGTATTTGTAYTAGTACAAATAAGATTATATTGCAACCAAACACAGCCTAAGGATTAAATTATCAGAATGATATATTTCGAGCATATCGTATTGGTTCCGAAGATCACTGAGACATGAAATAATAGGAGTTTGGGGGTTTTGAATGTTTTAGATCGTAGAAGGCTTCATCAGTAGTCTGTGTTTCAATAATCAAGCCAGAAAAAAAAAAAAAAAAAAAAAACAGTATAAGCATCAAGCAATCAATATGCGCATAACAATTTTTTTGGTATCGTGCGTGTAGAACCTTGAAACAGCTAAATTTTCAGCAACAGATTAACAGCAAGTTAGAAACAACACGAGGAGAAGAAAAAGAAGAAGAGGAAGAAGAGTTTTTTTTTATGATAAAACGAGACAAAATACAGCCTTGTTTAACAAAATTAACTTAATTACTAATTAATGAGAAATATTTCCCCATCCACTTATGCAACTATAAGATAAATTGCTTCATATAAATGTCAAATTTCTCTGAAGATGACAACTGAGGTTCCTGCACAACTCATGAGAAAAAAAAAAAGAAATTCACCTGCAAGGAAATGCTAAAAAATGCCTCAAAATGCATCAAATAACACGATAATTAATTATGACCAAAACTTTGTACAACCAAATTAAAGATCCAATCTCACGGAAAGAACATATTGACAAATTCTTGGAGTTAAGGGTGTTAATGAACCGATTTTGGATTGGACCCATCCAAATCAAAATCAATTTGTACGAATTGAATGGACCAACAAAGCATATTGAATTGGACCAGTTCAGACTTAATGGTCCAAAGTATTTATTAGATTAGATTGGACCTGGTCTGCTGGTAATGAATTTATATCGGATTGGCCTGGTTGGGTTGAGCCAATATCTGATCCCTCATTGATAGAAGATAAAAACGTAGGTGTCAATGCACTAGGCTTGGGTTAGAACCAATCTAAATTAAAACAAATTTAAACAGATTGGACAATCCAAGCATTGAATTGGACCGGTCCAAAATATTCATTAGATTGGATTGGACCTGATCCATTTGTAATGGATTGGATCAAATTGGACCAAATCCAGTGCATTGACACCCCTACTTGGAGTTGTCTTTTGTCATGATGGTAGTGGAAATGATTTGGCTGCAAATTTTGATTTATTTTTTATTTCAAATTTTACCTTACTTTGTTTGATTGCATTAAAAATGAAGTAAAATATGACCTAAAGCAGAATAAAATAAAATTCAAAACAAAATTAAACCAAAATTTGTATTTTTTTCATTTGCACTCCCATGCATTTATACTAGTAAATGCAAATAAAATTGCACTGCAACCAAACACAGCATAAGGAAATGACCACTTGGTAGTTGGTACTTAATATTATATTGCAAAATAATCTTTTAAATAAATAAAGGTATCCATAGTTCTCATCCTTGGTAAAGCTTATTTACAGGTTTTCAATGGATTCTGAAAGTTTTGAAACCTGATCTGATATAACTATATGCATTCAGTCTGATTAAAATTTTTATATGTATAATACGTACATGTATATAATATAACAATGTATTTAAGTAAATATTTTACATAATTATATAAAATTTATAATTAATAAATTAAATATTTTATATTTATATAAATTTATTATATATGTATAAGCTTTTAAAAAAAATAATTTTTAAAATTTTGTTCATTATAATGACAAAAAAGCGGATTTTGTTAAATCCCAATCCAATCCAACTCCAATATAATTAGATTTGAAGTTTTAATTAAGATGATCGGATTTGAATGTGGGATGCCTGGACGGATCCAACCTAATCAATTGCAGCCTTAGTTAAGTCCAGTTTAAATCATACCTGTCGTAAACCAGCACGAAATACTTTGCGAATAAGAGATGCAATAGGGCCATTAGTTAGGGAAAACCCAGTAGTCCTAGACTCTCGAATCAAACAGCGCATCAGGTTGAGTAGGCGACCATAACTCAAACCCGGTTCACTTTCCACAGCATGGATGAAGCAATATGTCAAGGCACCCGTCATTGTGTTGCCCGCAAGTGCCTGCAGCACGAAAGATCATGAATTCATGATCAGGATAATATCGATCATTTAATAAATAATTAGTAATGTTATAACTAGGGGTGGATTCGAACCAAATAGTACAAGTTTGAGCTCAGACTATTCTATAAGGCTCGAGCTCGAGCTTAGTTCGAGTAAAAAATTCATAAGCTCGAATTTGGTTCGGCTCGAGTTTGATTTAAAAAATATATATTTTATAAAAATAAAAAAATTATATATAAAAATATTTTTTATTTATAATAACTTAGTAAATATATTATTTTTATTATATATATTATTTTCTATAATTTTATTATATATTATTATTATAATATATATTAAATATCAAATATATATATATATATATATATATATATATATATATTCAAGTCGGTTTGCGAGCCTCATGAACCGAGCTCGACTCATTTAATAATTGAGTCAATGAATTGGGCTTAAATTCGAATTCAAACTCGGTTGAAACGAAGCCAATCTCGAACAGCTCGTAAAAAACTCCCCTATATGCAATTAAGTAGAGAGAGAGATCAGAGAGATAGAATTACTACGTACTGAGGTATCAGCAGAGGTTTGATGATCATCACAAGCGCTAAAACAAAGGGCTAGCCCACCAGCTGTACCTTTGTAAGTGCCTGAAGGAGGGGTTTGATTCTCCCAAATATATTGCCCTTCCCTGTGTAATATATATAATATTACAAAACAAGAGAGAGGAGAGAATAATAATAATAATAATAAAGTTATTAGATCATCTTATTCTAATTAATCTACTTAGTGCCTAGCTTGAATGAGTGAATTGAAAAAAGGACACTAACTAGCTACTGACTGACCGGTTCATTCTGCATACGAATGGTAAATCAAGAACCGTTCCGCTATGGCAAGCATCAACTATGGCATGAAGTGTGGCCCCTTTTGGGAGAGGCCTAACGATGGTAACATTGATCTCATCGTCAAGTATCATCCCTTCTGTCTCATAATCAAGGGGGCAAAGGGTCTCATCATACCCATCGACCTCTTCTCCATTTAAATTTGGTTGTTGTGAGCCATGACCTGAGTAGTGGAACACCAAAGAGTCCTCTGACCGGCAACCTTGAATTAGCCATTGCAATGCCATTCTGATATTTTGTTTTGTTGGAATCCTTAATGGGTCATTCTCATCTTCTGCATTTTGGTTTTATTGTTACACCAAATCAGAAATCCAAGATTATATTACAGTCTCTTCAACTTAATTTCCTACCAAAACTAATTAGGATGCGTTTAATTACTTTATTTTTTTTATCTTAATTAATTTATAAATCTGATCAAATGCTGATCTTACTAGCTAGTCTAGATCAATAATTTACATATCCAAGCTTCAATAAAAACATTAATATTACATTTTCTTGTGAGTGAAACCTGTTTTTTTCCCCTAATTCCTTGTTAATAAAACTTGAGATGCATGCCTATTAGTGTGTTATAAAATGATACTTTTTTGGGTCATCTACCAAACAATTGATCATAGATATATAGCTCATTAATTATTTATATAAAATATTTATCACAGTAAGATTTTATTTAATATGCCTTATGGGAGGAAAGCAAACTTAATGAAGTTCCCATGGAAAGTGAAAGGATGATGCAGAAGTACAAGATTTTCAACTTCAAGTCTAGAAGAGCAAATTCAAGCGACAATTTCAGTTACATTGCTTTAGAATTACCTATAGCTACCTCATAGATGGCATGAGGTAGGTGATGCTAATGGCATTAGTTGACACTAGTGCCATCTCTGTTACAGTGTATATTAACTTATAGTGGTTTAAGAAGTAGTAGCTAGAATTTCCATGATATACATAGGAAATAATTTGTAGTATCTAATTTCTGGTAATTTATTTCAATTCTTATAAATAAAATAGGAATATAAACTACAAGAATGCTCTCTCTCTCTCTCTATCCATTATAAATATATATAATGGATAAGACTATGATAAGCCTAAAAAAGAAAGAAAAGTTTAGGAAATGCCATGGAAATTGCTGCTATATATTTTGTTTTCATTCTACTTGCATGCCTTTGGTCTAATAAAATAAATTTGTAATTAATATATAGTAATTTCTACCTCTGTATAGAAGAGAGAGAGAGAGAGAGAGAGAGAGTATGAGAACTTCAAGAGAAGAAGGATGAGAATTTTCCTGGTCCCACGACTTATTGCAAATTTTGGTCAGTTGCTAGTTCCTTAACCATTGAAACATGCTTAGGGACACTTGAGGCATGCATTGGATGGATTAGATGCTGGGGATTGGGAAGTAGCAATTAAAAAAAGGGCCCTCTCAGGACTTTCTTAGCATTACTTTATCTATTATTCCATCTACTTTGACTCTGATCGATGTTCACTATTTTTTCTTTTTTTTTATTCTCCTTAGAGGATTAAATTAATTATACATATCTTAATTTTTTTTTCTTGGGGTGGAGGCCAGGAATCAGTTTCAACCCTCCTCCAGTACTTGCACTCTTGTCATTTACAGCAAGATTAGCCCAATGGAATTTTAAAAATCTGCTTAAAATAATTTTGTCCACTATTTTTTGTCTGTCAAATAGTAGCTAGGGATTGTTGGATGAAGAAGAGGTGGCAAGCCAGATATGTTTGAGCACCCTTAAGCTATTAGCTAGGCAATGATTCCCCTTTTAAAATTCCTAGCTATCAGGTCAACCTCTTTGCCAGATGGTAGCAGCCATCATCCATTACAACTGTAGGATTATTTCTCTTTAATTCGTCAATAGTTTTTTTAGATGAGTCATCTATCCTGTGGCAGGTGTGAATTTCTCTTCACTTTCGACAAATTTGGGCGTTGAAGCTAAACTGTAGGTTGAATGTTACCACTGATGAGAAGCTAGTTTCAAAATATATACCAATTAGCCTGATCGATCAAACTCAGCCGAGCTAACTATAAAAACCTCGGCAAAATAGGCATGAAGAGATGTATGTAGGAAAGAAAGCAAGCTCAGTTGGCTCATCAGTTTGTTGACATCTCTATGTTCTTCGCAAGTGTGATTCATTGACCCAACTCAGAAGTGATGGCATATTAATTTATAGTAATTAATTAAAACTATTATAAGGTAGGAAACAAAACAAAACAGAAAAAAAAAAATGAACTAATTGATATATATAATAAGGGTATGAATAAGTGGTACCTGTGAGGACAAGGATGGAGTCGTTTGGGAAACCGAGTTTCTCAGTGAGAAAATACCTCATGCAGTTAACATCATTAATGGTGCCCTTGAGTTCGTATCTCCGATACCTATAGCTCACACCACAGAGAAGCGCCCTCTTCCTCCCATGCACCGGAAGGTGCGTGAGGGGTCTAGAAGGATGTGGATAGTAACTAAAACTAGGCACTGATGGCCCGCTGTAGCTATTGAATGAAGCAGCAGCAGCAGCTATGGAGTTGATATTGCTTAGGAAGCCCCTGACCCAGTTGGCCGCCTGGCGAACTGGATCCTGCGATTGAGAGAGTGAATTGCTGGGTCGAACCCGAGTCACTGTTCGGCACACTGCACAACGGATGTTTAGCACCCCCAGTGGCACGGCTAGTTCCATTCCGCACCCACTGCACCTCTCTCTTCTACATGCCATTTTCTTTTCTTCTTCTTGTATCGATCTGACTGATTTACGCTCTCTGTATGCCTGTTGTTGTCTGTGTTTAATTATATTCTTTGTGTATATATGAAACAAAAAGAGAAGATAGGATCGATGAAGTTGGATTTAGAGCTAAACTAACTAGATTTGTTTCTGCTGATTGCGGGCAACGTTCGGTAATTAAGTAGTCTATATCTCGCTGGGTTCTTCTTTATTCTTTTGTTGTATGAGGCAGCTGGACGGGAGTGGAGAACCAGATTCTTAGTTTCTTTTTACTTGTTTATTTCTTCGACGATGACCATTTGGCCTAGCTAGCCGTCTTTGGTTCTAGCTAGCTAGTTGAGCAGTCGATTAGATTTGTAGCGTTCAGATTCTCTACGGCGTTTGAAGCCTAATTTAATTGGGCTATACGTACATGGAGGAGTTGGCATCGCATCTGCGATCTGCCGCAGAATATTATATGTTTGCACCGCTAATATATAGAAGAGAGGTCCAATGATTAAGAAAGCATAACACCCGGAGTTTTGGATTTGGGGATCGATCGTATCCGTGTTTCATTGGGCTAGCTGTGGCAAGAATCAAAGCGATGGTGATCGCAGCAGATGTATATCTATGATACGTAAAACCAAGCTGTATTAAACTGGATACAGATGACCAACAGTTATGAATGATTGTGTGTTTTACTTCTTCCTATTAAATCCGGACTCGTGCCGGTGAAAATTTGCACTGGTGTAAATGTCATCTTCAGACTTCATCATCTAAGCCTTATCGCATACATGAATCCCGTTTGGCCATTTAATGGGAAATTTTATTTTTAAAGTACCCTTATCGTTTAGGAAACTCCACCCTTACTATTTATATACATATAGTTAAATTTTATGACAATACATTGATGTTCAACACTAACAAAATAAAAAATGAAATATCTAATTTACCCTCTACTGAAAAATTGAAGGAAGATGAGGAAATAGCACAAGCACACACCACTGGCCCATCCACAATGATCACAGTACAAACATTTTTCTGCCTCTGCACCCTCACCCTTCTTATCCTATAACTTCTGTACAGAGCAGGAAAGGGACTCCTCCTCCTATCCTTCTTTGCTATCTTGCTCTATTGCACAGATAGAAAGCTGAATTTAATTTTGACTATTTTGTTTTTCATTTTAAATGAACAATATGAGAGAATGGAAATTAGGATGCGCCCCTCTATAGATAATGATGAGAGAGGAAGGTGTGTATGGGTGGGCAATTGTCTCATTAACTACGAGGGGGTGCATCTTCAGCACCACCAGGAGACAAGTCTCGTCTTGGTGCACCTTTGCCTTTGGCTATGGGCTTGGGCTATGGCTGGGTGTTCTCACTTTTAACACGGATTTCCTCCAACCAATCTGTATTCTGTGTTCTATGACACACTCTCCTTATTCTAAGCGGCAGAGCTGAAGTAGAATTTTGAGCCAATCAGAGGTACTGGTGGACGTTATCAGTCTCTCTTTCTCGGACCGTAGCTGTGAGAGAGAAAATGGTTTGATCCTCTCCATTCTTCAATCTTCAACCATTGGGGATCCATTGGTGTTCATGACCCGTGTGATCCACCAACATTGGACTGAATTTCTGATATTTGACATTATAATCATAAAAGGGTATTTTAGAAATTTTGAAAAATATATCAATCATGTGATGTCACATATAAATGGAGTGTGATGGAAAGTTAAGGACAAGGAGATTTTAGACAATTGTCAAAACATAAAAATACTTTAAGATAATATGTAAATAATAAGGATAGAATTAATCAATTTCCTAACCATAAGGTACTTTAAGAAAATTTCCCTTTTGTTTAATGTCATAAATCATTTCTTACTATTTTCACACATATCCTTTGTTGTTTTGGCCCACCCTCAAATCCTTTTAGCCCCAAACTTGTAAAATATCAATTCTCCTCACTAATGTAAATTCTGGTTTACTTTTTATGCTTCCAATTTGATTTTAGGGTTCCACTATGACACGAGAAAGATATGTTACTGAAAAAACCTTATAACTAATCAACCTGCATCGAAAAAGCGGTAACCATTCAGGTGGGGGTTTGATTAATTGGTCAAAGGGTTTGAGGGCTCTTCCTTTATTATACCTCTCCAGCATAAATTTTTCCTTGATTTTATCTTATTTGTTTATTATTTATGAAAAGTAAAGAAGAAAGTAAAATGAAGTGGCTACCACTTACCACTTCATATAAAAGAGAGTGGAAGTGGGAGTCTGAGAGGAGAATTATTTATTTGGGAGTGGGGTAGGAAAAAAGATGAAGGAGGTGGAAGGTGGTGCAAATTATGTTACAGATCATAGATACACTACTAATAAACATATACAAAACTTAATCAGGTTCAAAATTTGCATCTGTTTCAAATTTAATTGCATTCAACAGCTACCATATGCACTCACAATTTTGAGCTTTTTTGAGGATCCATACAATAATTTGTTATGTTTGTGCCTTGAATTCTTTGTGACGACCCGTTTTATGAATCTGCTCTGAATTAATTTAAGAAAAATCCGAAGGCAAAATTTTATAGCGGTTTGTGGTGGAAGTATACCGAATCCATACTGAATCTTATAGGTCTGAACCGAATACAAAGGGTTATGTATTTCGGGGGGTTTCTCTCTTGTACACAAAGTCTTAGTCTTGTGAGAGAAAGAGTAAGACATTGGGTGTATTTAGGGCTTAAGTTTTTTTTCTGTGAGGACACAACTCTCAACTCTGTATTTCTTCTCCATTGCCAACTTCATAGTAGATTTCTGTTCCTCCTTCGCCCTGTCAAGGTTTAAATTTCATTATTGTTTAGATTCATTTCGTTTAATAAATCCCTATTAAGTAGGTAGTTTCCAGCTTTGACTCTTTCTCTGTTCTTTATCCGTTAGTGTAAAACATCGGTTGTTTTTTCTCTCAATTAGTTATTGTAAAGGCTATTTATTAGCCAAAGTTGTTGATCAATAAAGTTGAATCATTCCAGTTTTTTTTTAAGCTTGTTCGATTCAAGTTCTGACTCACAACATTTTGGTATCAAAGCCACCACTGGGCTTGAAGAAACAAAGCAGCGGCCTTTGTGATTTGTAGCAGCAAGAGAGATGATGACTGAAGGAAATTTTGTGCAACCTGCTATTCATCGCTTTGATGGTCATTACGATCATTGGAGCATGTTGATGGAAAACTTGTTAAGATCCAAGGAGTACTGGAGCCTTGTGGAGACTAGTTATGTTGAGCTAGAAAGTGGAACAGTATTGACAGAGGCGCAACAGAAGAAGCTTGATGAGATGAAGCTGAAAGACTTGAAGGTGAAAAATTATCTATTTCAAGCCATCGATCGAACTATCCTAGAAACCATTCTACAGAAGAACACATCCAAACAGATATGGGATTCTATGAAGAAGTATGAGGGCAATGAAAGGGTGAA